AGCCATACAAGGGAAAACTATGGTTTTCCCTTGTATGGTCGTGGCCCCGCCCCCAGTGTGCCCGGCGTCATAACGTCACTTCCTGGTGACGTGTGTGTGGCGCGCGCGCTCCGGGATCCACCCAGGAGTCCCCCGCCACCAAGGTAAGTTCCACTTGGCAACCCTAGTAGCAGCGTTTGCTAATGAGTCAAACCCACTCAGTCTAAGATATTCCCCTAGGAAATGGCTGACATTGGTTTAAGTAGCAGAGTCTGGGCGTGTTCCACCTCATTCTATGTGATGTTCAATAACTCTTTAAGGGGTCATGTCAACAAGGGGGCAGACAGTGCCTTCAAAGATATCCTGAGAGTCAGTGACAGCACATTGTCTCTCATGCTGGCAGAGAAACACCCTTTCTGGCTTTTCTTCCCGTGGACTGAAGAAAGAGCTTTTTCTCCATTCAACCTAGCAAACAAAGGGGAGGGGTCATGGTTCAGGGCACCTGCTTTACATGTAGTAAGTTCCGTCCCTGGCATCTCTACTTCATGGGCCAGGCAGTAGGAGATTGAAAGGTGGCACCCTCCAGACCCACTGCCAGTCAGAGTAGCCAGCACTGACCTCAATAGACCAGTAGTCTGATTCAGTGCCATTCCAAGAGGCCTGGGGTCACATATCATCCATGAAGATGGTGTGTTATTGCAGCCCATTTCTCATTGGCTCCCATACTCTCCCAAAGGTGTATGTGACAGGTCTGAGGAGGAAAAACAGAACCCACAGTTCCAGAACCCTCAAGAGAAATATTGGGGAAGGGGAGAAATCTGCTTTAAACAGGAGTCTGGTGGCACCTTAAAGGCTAACTCGATTTATTCTACCATAAAACTATTACAAGTCAAAGCTTTTATTTTATTGTCGCAAACTAACAGAACCACCCCTCTGAAATCCAAATTAGTGGTGATGCTGAGGTTTGTAATGACCAGGCGCTCATAATGCTCATCTTCCATCTGAGAAAAGCTGCATGGTTGCAAAGATTCCTTCTGACTTGCACAAATAGCCCCAGAGAAGAATCCCTCCCTGTCCCTTTCTTTCCCCCCATCTTATCTGACTGTAGGTGCAGAAACCATATATTTCTATGGAGGCCTCTGGCACAAAATTCCCTGTCTCCCACTGGCAACAGCAATGCCTCTGGTGCCAGGACAGCTTGGGAGACATAGTTCTGCGGGATGCCTGTGTTTATACAGAATAGTCATGAGGAAGATACAGAAGCAAACAGTTGTAGGATCCTCTCCTGGTGAGCAGGAGTTAGCTCAAAGGCTTTTTTGGCATGCAAACACTTAAATTCTGGGTTCTCTTACAGACTGCATCTGCCACTTTGAAACAGATAAGATACTGTGAAGTGGAAGCCAGCTTCAGCTATGTGGGCAAACTAACAGTAATTAAGAAAGCTTCAGACATTGTTTCCTTTCCTCACCATGTAACAATACCAGTAGGCCTGGCACCACCCAGTGGATATAAGTCAAAGTACTCATAGACCGTGTTTGGCAAAGTGTTTTGGGAAAAGTCAGATTCCGTAAACCCATGAATCCTGTCTCTGTCAGAAACCCCTACATATGACCAGTCCCCGCTACCATATTGTTGTAGTTAATGGTTCTAACAATCATTTATAGCAATTGCTATAATACCAAGTATCTAACAAGAAGGTCTTGTACAGTTTTGTTTTTTTAAAATAACAGGAATCAGCCTGCAAGATTAAAATGTCTCCAAAAATGACATCAATAGAAAGAAACCAGATTTGAAGGAGAATGAAAACAAAGAGAGCCAGGTCTTTTGGGGAGGGTACTGAGAAACTAGTAAGTTAGGTAAGGGGGGGAGGATAGGAGAGACAAAGGTAAGAGAAGGATGAGGTAAGTCAGGTAAAGGGGGGAAGTCAGGTAAAGGGGGGATAGGAGAGACAAAGGTAAGAGAAGGATGAGGTAATGTTGGGTCTGAAGATAAATTCACAAATTTTACAGAAAACCAATGACATGCCTTCTTTGTTTCTCTAACAACACTTTTATGGGAGTAAGCCCTGTTGAATACACTGCATAAACCTGATCTGGATTGGTCTCACCCTCTCTCACACATGTGGCTTCTCCCTCTGTCAAGGATATTCAGGCAGTTACTAAAGAGCATGTCCTGCTCATTTTTTAGTGCAAACATCAGCATCACTTGAACTATGCGATGGAGAACTGCACTGACAACCGTCTAGATCTAGGAAAAGGCTGTTAAGTAAATCACTTGTTTCCATAGCAAGAGATTGTAGATAAGGCATTTGCTGATCAGTCTGCATGGTCTATATTTTGTGATTTTAAAAAATCAGATCTCCATGATATGCCATGGTTAGAGCAAGAATGCATACTGGCATCTTCAAAGGCATCTTCTAAGTAAGAAATATACAAAGGCCCCGATCACACGGGCCAGATATCGCGGGGGGGTGTGGCTAATTGCCCCGGCACGGTTTGATCCACGATTACGCGATCAGACATGCCGGCAGCACACCACAGGTCCGTCCCTCTGTGCCGGCGGGTAAACGGGGGTGGTGATCACACGACGCTCACCTCCGGTGATGCAGCCATGCTGCGCTTCGGGGGGTGGAGTTCCCCCCGAGGCCCGATTCTGCGGCGGCGGAAATCGGGCCTCCAAAGCGGGGGTTTACCCGCCCCCCACTTGGCAGCCCTACTTCAAAGGCATCTTCTAAGTAAGAAATCTACTTAGTCTTGCATTTTTTGCAGGAATCCTTGCAATCACTATTTTTTCTGTCTTTGCTTTGTTTTGTTTTAGCAAAGAAGTTAGATGCCTACAACCAGGTAAATCTAGAGCATGCTTGGGCAGAAGGTAGATCATAGTCTTCTGTCCAAAAATTGTAGGATCCTAAGGCTGTGTGGAAGAAGGAGGAGGGGGGAGAAACAAGCCATTAAAAAGTTAATAACCTTTTCATGGAAAGCAAATGATAATTTTAATTATTTGGTATGAAAAACTTCGTTTTCACAGTAATTGAATCAGCTCCTTATAGCCATGACAAATGGAATGAATTAGAAGACATATGTAAATGATGTTCTCTCACTAAGAACAAAAGTTTTATGTGCAACTTCTTTATGTGTACATTGATACTGTAATCGTCGCAATGTAAAATAAACATTTTGGTTTTGATTCCCTTTGTCCTAAGACATTGCTATAGTTTATAAGAATGAGCGATCACATGTCTTCTTCCCTCTTAAATAGTCAGTGTAAACCATACTTTGCCAGTATGTCCAAACTGACAAACTATGGTTTGCAGGGCCCTTCAAAGCCAAGGCTACATTTACAGTTTTGTTTTGTTCTCATAACATGAGCTTTAAATCCTGAGTCTCACATACTCCATTCTCTCTCCTCCGCTTGCACAGAGTTGCAATTGAAAACTTGCTCATGTACAAAGTCTTCAACATAACCCTAGTGTAGTAGTATCACAGAGTTGCAATTGAAAACTTGCTCATTTACAAAGTCTTCCACATTTGGCCAGATTGGGAAAGAAACTTCCAATCTGTTAGGATATGCACATCACAATACATTGGAGTAGCGTGGAAGACTTCCCAAATGATCATGTCTTCAGTTCCAGCTCTACATGTGACAAGAGCAGGGGAAAGAGCACACAAAATCAAGGATTCAGAATTCAGTCATGTCACAAGCATGAATGAGTCTCAGGTTTCAAATGCCAAACAAACAGGTGTGCAGTTCTGGTTTGCGATCCATAGTGCTTGTTCAGATATAATGGCAAACTATGGTTTGAATTAAATCAGAATACATGGACTCCAAGAGTATACAGGGAGAGGAGAGGGAGTTCAAGAGCACATGGCTTATTCACATAAAACACCAAACATAAAACACGTATGAATCATGCTCGTATAAGAGACACCTGCACAACTTATGATCCACCAAACTGAATACAGGCCACTAGTCATGTATTGTGGCCTACATATAAATTGGGAGAATCACCCTGTAGATGGACTCCATGCCCCAACTGAGTCGTCCACAGCTCTCTGGATTTAACACAATACCAACTCCAGTATCAAGGCATCTTAATAAAGTTTAATAAATTAATATAATAAAGTGTGAATGTTGTCAGTGTTGATAAAGGATATCCTGCTAATGGCCAGTTACAGGTATTGTCCTTTGAAGAAGAAGAGCACAGATAACTAGAGAATGTTATCCAGAAGTGTCAGACAGTCAACACCGCTGTGGGTCCTAGTGTCAAATGCAAAACCATGCTCAGGTTTGCGGCGTATTAGAAAAAGTAACCTTTGCCTTCTCGTTCTCTCCTTTTTTTCACAGAAAGAGATGACGGCCAGGATGTGTCATTGAAGAGTCACTACAGAATGAAAGAAAGAAAGAAAATGCAATTTCCTACTAACTGAAGAGCTAGAGGACTCAGCAGCCCTCAGGAGCAAAACTTGCCTGTTAATCCTTAAAAAGCCGGGAAGTCAGGACCAGAAGATGATTTCTTTCACAGACACTTCCCACCATCAAGTAGGCTCTTAACCCTAAAAATGCTGCTAGGCGCCTCCTTGGAAAGAAGATTTCTCAGAAAGGAAAGAAGCAACTTTATTTCCATATCCCCCGAACAACCAAGGAGGAGCTCACCAGACTACGAATTGGTTTCCATTCACCTTCCCGCTCTAGAGCCACATTGCAGTTTGGATTTCCAGCTGTACTTTTGAAACAGACCTTAGTGTTAAAAGGAAGAGTTATGAAACCATGTTGGTACATGCATTGTTGTGTAGATACAGCTGTGTTAAGAGCAAATGCAAAATTTCTGATTGCCCTTTCGGTATCTCCAGTTTAGCTTAGAAAATAAGCCAGGCAGGCATTTGCTTAAAAGAGAACCCCAAAGATCCGGCATACCCTTTAACTAGAAAATGAGATAAATAGTTCGGACCACAATCCTAGATAACTATAGATGAGCAGGAAAGAAGCAGGTGGAATGGCTGAGTCCCTTTTCCATTTAAAAATGGCCTACATGTTCAATATGTTGATTGATTACACTCAAAACACCTCTAGCTGGCTGTGTTCTTCTTTTCTGCCTGCAGTATGGCTATCCAGATCGGATTAGGACTTAACTGAAATCTTGGAACCAGTAGCTGAGGTCCTGGGTCAAAAACCTTTGGAGTTTCATTTCTGTGTTTCCTTGGCAGCAAGTCCTAGCTTGACTGGCTTGTGCGAAGTGTTTCGGTATCTCCAGTTTAGCTTAGAAAATAAGCCAGGCAGGCATTTGCTTAAAAGAGAACCCCAAAGATCCGGCATACCCTTTAACTAGAAAATGAGATAAATAGTTCGGACCACAATCCTAGATAACTATAGATGAGCAGGAAAGAAGCAGGTGGAATGGCTGAGTCCCTTTTCCATTTAAAAATGGCCTACATGTTCAGTATGTTGATTGATTACATTCAAAACACCTCTAGCTGGCTGTGTTCTTCTTTTCTGCCTGCAGTATGGCTATCCAGATCGGATTAGGACTTAACTGAAATCTTGGAACCAGTAGCTGAGGTCCTGGGTCAAAAACCTTTGGAGTTTCATTTCTGTGTTTCCTTGGCAGCAAGTCCTAGCTTGACTGGCTTGTGCGAAGTGATGCAGTGCTGAATCCTTTTTTTTTTTTTGTAAACACATTTCACAACAAGGTGTTTTTTCATTGTGTGTATCCTGAACTCAAGTAGGATTTGCTGCTCGGAAAAGTACTGTAGAGAATGTCCTGTTGTGTAGGACTGTAGGCTGAATATGTTTCAAAACGGAGAAAGAGAAGTATGCATGTCCAGAGCACAGAATGATGGTGCCAGACAAAAGACTGGATGGTGGGGTAAATAAGTGTTGGGGGAGCATGGCAATGGAAGATTTTTCTTTTCTAGGGGATAGGGAGGGACAGATCTTGTGGGACATCAAATACACACAGTGTAATCCCATGCAGAGTAGCTGCAGTCTAAACCCATTGATTTCAAGAGGCTGATGCGGCCCTGCGTGGAATTGCAACCCAAAATACATTGGGATTATTGAAACTACAGCAGCATTCAGGGTGTTTCCGGGGGGCTCAGTCATGCACACAGACAAGCCGTATTGACCAGGGTTAAGTGACAACCACTAAATTCTACACTGAGAAACTAGATTCCATATTGTGATCATACCTATGCAGATTTCTATTCAGAGTTTGCTGAGAAATGCTCCAAAATACCACTGTGCCTGAACTATTATTTTTTTACTAAAATGTTTGTTTTCATAACTATTTCATTTACCAGGAAGTTGGTGGCCTGATTGCAATATTAATTATAATGGTGTGAATTTAGAGCTTTCATTGCAGGTATTAAAAAACTAGCAAGGCCTTAAGGCAGCATGAACTGAGAATCAACCAATACACATGTGCACACATGCACGCACACAAAGATCTGGGGCTTGTTCATAATCCATGCACTTTGTAGGTGCGAGAGATGTGTAGGCGACAGATTGCACGTATGGATGACTGGAATGGTTTATGTGGCATTTTCATTCAAATCGCTTTCCCTCATAATTAGTTGTCTCTTAATTTTAAAAAAGAAAAGATATTACTTGTTAAAGATGCAAGAATGATGATTAAGATGAATATCATAGTAGGACTATGCCATTCTTTGGTATCTGATAAGTACTGTCCCACATGCATTTGGTAAATAAGATGAATAAATAAGTCAGTCTGATCCAATCAAATTAAAATTGGTGACATCAGCAAACAGCCAATGAACATCAATGACTCAGCTTGTTGAACAGCATTTAGTAAATCAGTCTTAAGACACATGGTGGAAAATAGATTAAAAGGACTACTGTGATGTTTTGTGTGCCTTTTCTCCCAGATTTTTCCTCATGTAATTAGTTGAATTTAATTTTATGATCAAGTGCTAATTTATGCTGCTCCTAACTCACTCCCCCCCAAGCTCTTACATTATTGGCTTTAGACGCCACAGGAAAAACAGTGACAAATACTGTTGTTGATGAAAGGGCATGTATTAATTTTATAGCATAATGTAAATTGCAAGATTTGGGAGAAATGGAAGAAGTTATCTTTGTTGTGTGCATGTTTGTGTTCCTGAATTGCTTGCAAGACCAACTTTTAAAGTTAAAATGAATTTGTGGAAGTTTTGAATCAGAACATCTGTGTAGAAATTTATGTGAAATTGCAGTGTCTGATATGCAGCAATCGATTTAATTAAGAAGTTGGCTATCTTTCACCAAGATGGTACATGCAGATGTATCAAAAGCAGGAATCAATACAGTTTTTTCCTCCCTTCTTTCTGCCTAAGCTACACAAATGAAGTGACTACTGGTCTGGAGTTTGGTTTTGCCCTTCTCTTCTTGCTTCAAATGAAAAAAAAAACCCATTTGTTGTTGCTGCTGTTTAAAGTTGTGTTTATATGTGTCTCTCTTTAAATGTTCATTTTGCATCTTCAAGAAACAATCCGTTTTTTAAAAAATGAAATACTGCTCTTGGGATGATTGAGGAAGGGTTAGATGGGTTCCTGATGACACAAATTTAAGCCAGTTAATGCTGAATATATCTGACTTCTACCGCAAACTGGCCTGAGCTTAATCCTGAAAAGAATGTCATATATATCCGAACAAAATGTAAACGCCTTTACCACCATGCTCCTCCTGCTCAAACCATAATTGTGTCAGTATACCTATACTGTAGGTTGTTGTTGACACATGCACTGCTTCTGTCCATAGTCCCATTTCTGCCTGAGGAAATGGTTGTGAAATCTAGGAATTGGGGTGACAGGGACAGTAGGTTCAATGTGTATGTTGCTACAGTCAGAAATGACCATTGGGTAACCCTAATTTGTGTCCAAGACCATCACTCCAGCCTTGATTTATTTATTTTTTTGTGGTGGTGATGGTTAGATGTTGCCACTGTTTTAAGATTTGATATGAAATAATCTGTACTTAGTTGACGTAATTACAGTACTCCCTACTAGATCTGACATTTCAGACTGCAGGATTAAGCTTAAAGGGGATTCTAGAACGGTGAGAGGCAACTCTCCGTGGCACTCCATCAGCCTTGGCAAAAATCCTCTGTAATGTAATTAATGGGGCCAGACCTCCTTTTAAAATCCCTTGAGTGCTTGCCTTTTGCTCCAAGAAAGGATCATAGCCGTTGACCTGGTCTCGTCCAGGCATCTGAAATAACAGAAAGTCATGGTTTGTGGCTTACATAATGTATGGAGCCATCCAAAACAGAGTTATGCCCTTCTAAGCCCATTGATGTCAGTGGGCGTAGAAGGTAGGGGCCAATGTGTGGGAAGTGTCCTCCTGCTGTCTCTTGATATACGTCCTCATAGCCTTTTTGATTAGATATTTCATTTTTGTAAAACATTCCATCAAAGTGTGTCTGTGATGCAAGAAAAAAAAACCATCCAAAACAGAGTTATGCCCTTCTAAGCCCATTGATGTCAGTGGGCGTAGAAGGTAGGGGCCAATGTGTGGGAAGTGTCCTCCTGCTGTCTCTTGATATACGTCCTCATAGCCTTTTTGATTAGATATTTCATTTTTGTAAAACATTCCATCAAAGTGTGTCTGTGATGCAAGAAAAAAAA